AATTAAGCTAGTGCCTGTAGTAAATGCTAAAGATACAGAGAAAAGCAAAAAAAAAAACAACAAACCAAACCAAAAACCAGATCCTGCCTTCAAGTAGCTCGCAGTCTGATGGGGGAAATAACATGTAATCAAAAGTATATAAAAAGATATAGACAAGATAAATTGGAAATAATCTCAGAAGGAAGGCACTAACATTAAGGGAGTTCAGGAAAGGTTTCTTTTAGAAGTGAGACTTTAGCTAGGACTTGAAGGAAGCCAGGAGGTGGAGATAAGGTAGGAGAGCATTCCAGTCACGGATGACAGCTACAGAAAATGTGCTGAGTTAGGAGTGTCTTGTTTGAGGAACAACAGAAAGAAGGTCAATCTCACTGGATTGTACACAGAGGGGACAAAACTAGTGTAAGAAGACTGAAAAGCTAGAAGCTGGCCAGGTTGGGAAGGATTCAGAACTCCAGAGTATGTTCTATTTGATCCTGGAGTTTATGGGGAGCCACTACAGTTAATTGAATAGGTCAGCCTTGCGCTTTAGGAAGATCAATTTGATACGTGAGTGGAGGATGGACTGGAGTGGGGAGAAACTTGAGGGAGAGACCAACCAGCAGTCTATTGCAGTAGTCCAGGTCTGAGGTGATGAAGCTAGGTGGCACAGCGGATAAGAGCATGGGGCTTGGAGTCAGAAAGATCAGAAAGACCTGAGTTCGAATGTCACCTCGGACACTGACTAGATGTGTGACTCTGGACAAATCACTTAACCCCTGCCTGCATCAAACTGGAGAAGGAAATGACGAACCACTGCAATATCCTTGCCAAGAAAACTCCATGGACAGTTGGCCCACTGGGTCATAAAGAGTCTGACATGACTAAACAATGACCGCAAGGTGATAGAAGACTTGAATCAGGGTGGTGGCAGTGTCAGAGGAAATAAGCGAGTACATAGGAGAGATGTTAGGAAAATAGAATTGACAGGACTTAGTAATAGATTGAATATGGGGAGTAAGAGGTAATGAGGAGTTGAAGATGCAACTTAGATTACTATTCACTCAAAAAAGTGACAAAAATGCAGGTGAAGGCATCCAGAGATCAAGTCTTAGGCTCATGTACAGTCATGTGTTTCTGATGCAAACTGTCATTGCCCAGAGGAGAGAAAATGTATGACAAGAAAGTCCAAAAGGAAAGGGGCTCAGCCATTTCTACTGCTTTTATAGAACCCAGAGTAGGGAAATTCTTCCAAAAAGAGTTTGCTCCCCTTTACACGGAGGCAGCGATGATCACAAACCAACTATATTCACTACAGACTAATCAGGAGTTTGATGTGACCTCTCTGCAATCATGTTCCCCCAGCAAACCGTGGGAAGAGGGGCTGTAGGTGGGCAACAGGTGGGTCTCATGGTGCATGTCCAACTCCACATGAAGTGTTCCTTTCTGACAAGGGCCCTGTAATCTCATCAAGTGAGGTGAGGGTACTCATCTAATTAAACAGGAATGCTCCTGTTCACTCTCGCTATATATTGTCTATATCTATTCCTTATCTTTGCCCTAAGTGATATGTCAGTGTGGCCATGGACCAACCGCCACCCATGCCAATATAGTCATGAACTCTGACAGGAGGGTCTATGAAGGTTCTGTCCCTAGGCCTTTGACTTTACTAACTTGTGTAAGCTTGCTGGCAGGGTGACTCCTCTGCTTGGAACTTGGCCAGGAGACTCTGTCTTTGGCAAGAGATTGCAATACTTTTTCAACCTGCATGATTGCTGAACCTGAATTCAAAATATGCTTCTAGAACCTTCATGATCCTTGAACTGGGCTGGCTTCCTGAATGTAGGCTACCACCTGTCCCTCTTTTTTTTCTGGTACTATTTTTTAAAACCTGTTTCTAGCACTCACTTCTCTCTTTCTTTTCTGTCCCTTGTTGCTACATCCTCCAGACCAGTGAGCATGTTGTCTAGATTTTATTTATAAGAGAAGGGAGAAGATACGATATACCAGGATAAGATAATAAGATGTGCATATAAAATAAAACTCCCAGATTGAGTGACACCTAAACTTTCTAATCTAATTGTAACAAAAGTTTCCTAGACCTAGGCTGATTCTCTCTCGGGACTGGGCAGAAGTGTCTAGTATCTTCCCTGTTCTAGGCCAGAATAGAATCTTTTCTACAAGAACACTCTGAAGCTGATTTTGAGATACATCTACTTCGGCTCACTGAATTGAGTTCGTTGCTGGTCTCCAATCCCTATGTCTCAGTTAATTATTAAGCCTCCTTAACTGGTGTGGTAGGTTTATGGTATTCCATATTTCTACCTGTTATCTCATTTCTTCCTTCCTTGGACTCAGATAAATACAATGGGGTGCTGACAGTTCAAAGGTTGAAATACTTCGACCGTTTCCATGTTACTCACAAAATACACAAAAGCCAACCTCTTCTCTTACTGGACTTGATCTATAAATAGGATCCTTTCAGACCAAAATGGTCTAGTCTTTCCATAAGAATCACGGGCTATGCCTCAGTGGCAGTTCAGTGCCACACATAATTACTTCTGGAATGTGTAACATACAACAGTAATCCTTTATTGTTCAGCTGCTCTGTTTTCGTTCTTTTGTGGGGTGAAGGACTCCTGAGAGACAGGCATTCTCACTTTATACCTTCAGCCTTTAAACCCATACTTTCCATAGTAGCATTATATATTGTGATTGGATGCAGATGTATAACATGCATCATAATGTACTTGAGCCTTTGCTAATTACTAATAAGAAATCATGCCAGTTTGTGGCAATATCAGTATAAATTCTGCTAATTGCAACTGCTTTGGCATTTCTTCCTGGGCATCTGATGAGCAGATGATTCCCAGTCTTCAATTCAGCAAATATTTATTGAGCACCTAAAATGTGAATGGCTTTGGACTAACATCCTCATCTGATGCCTCTTGGTGTGGAGGTGAACTTGGATTCTCAAAAGCTATGTCATGAAAACACAAGCACTAGTGGTTCCTACCAAGGTGGTAGTTTGGAGTTTGAAGCTAATGATGGACTATGTATGTCTTTGTTGTCTGAGGATCAACCTGGTTAAGTTCAGAGAAACTTGCTGCTGGGTTGGCTGCAGGGTGATGACTTTTTTTGGCTTCAACAATTCTTCAACACTATTATGCTATAGAAGGAGTTTTTTTTTCTTCACTTTCCTCCTACCATATAGAAAGGTTTTGGTTTGTGTCATTGGAGAGAGTGTACATACCCACAAAATTACATCTCCTTGAATACAAAGTATGAACAATGCACTGTGCGAGGCACTGGGCACCAATCTTTTCTTTGGCAACAATCTCCAATTCTGCATTTGGAACAATGCCTACCATGTGATTCTGTTGTTCCTGAAGATTCTGTTCAGATCCTCTTCCTGGCAAAAAGAGGAAAAGATATTGATTTGACACCACTCCAACTTTCCTTTATCCAGTCATATTTTGACTTCCTCATAGGCTTCAATGGAACCATCAGCCCCAAATACTACCACTAAGATTTCTCACTATTTAGTAAATCTTAGGCCTTTTATTTTTCATTTGGTAAATATTTATTAAATACTAGCAGTGTGCAGAGCCCTGTACTAGGGTATATGGTAGGGGTAATATTGAGATAGAAAGTTTACTTAAGACCTAACTCCTGCCTTCATGAAGCTTACAGTCTGCTTGTTTCCATATGCACAATTAAGGCTATGTTTACAGAGGCAGGATAGATGGATTGATACTTAGGATTTTACTTGTCTAGCTGGATTTATTTCTATCAGCCTAGTTTTCTTACAGATCTGTTTCTGAGATCACTATTTTTGAGCTTTAAAAAGTGTGTTTTAATTATTTTTTAAATAATCTCTTAAAAATTTTTTTTGTATATGAATGGGTCCCATTTGTGCATTTGTAGATAACTTGTTTTTTCTTTTCTCTTCATCCTCTTTTAAAAAGAGGCAGCACAGTGTAGTCGAGAGTGCTTGCTAGTGTCAGAAGAGTTGGGTTTGAATTTAACTCCCATGTTTATTAGCCCCATGATTTTGGGCCAGTCACTTTACTGTGCTTCAGTTTATTCCTCTGCATTATGGAGCTAATCCTTATACCATCTCGGAGGGTTGTAGTGGGCAAAAGGTATTTTCCATCTTAAAGTACTGTGGCCATGTGATGTATTATTTTATATTGCTTCATCAGTTGCCATGGACAAATGATTTATCAACTGGTTGCCACCGTACTAGTGATGTTTTTTCCTCTTCCTAGCTAGGTCGGCCCTTTTTGGGCACTCAATGCCTTTTCTTCGTGGTAAAACTTGTCAGAACTTGAGCCTTATAGATGAATAGCCTTTGAGAAAACAAGGTCAACAAACCCCAAGACATGATAAGGCAACAACCTGATCGGTCAAATCCGTGGCTCCTCAAAAGGAATTGGTCAACAATCCACACAGGAAAACTCAAATAGATGGAAAATGCCTAATTTCCCAAATGATGTTATGCCAGGTATAATTTACTCCAAGGTTCCCTATGAATCACAAAAGATGAGCGTTCCCCATCTATGCAAAGGGGATTGGGGAGAGGAAAGCCCCGCATAGTGGTTACCCTGGTGACTAGTCCCGCCTTTTTGAGGAAGGAGAAGGGGCTTCCCAGCCTAAATGCCTTAATTCCCCGTTCAGGGGAATTGATCATGATTCCTGATCCCTTCGTTTGCTAACAATAATGTGGGAAACATCTGCTTACTTCATTCCACCCCGTGAGAAATGCTGGTTTATTCCTATGAGAGTAGGAATTGTGTGTGCTTAAAAGTGGCTCCAGGGTAAATCGAGGTTTTCAACCAATTAGAAGCGTCTCCCAGCCCCTATTCCCGTCCCTCCCCACATTGTGCCGGGGAGTCGTCACGCATGCTCTGTTGCTCCCTAGTCTCAAAGGTTGGAGAGGCGGGGGACGTAAGGGGTGGGAATGGGGGGGCGGGGAAAGCCGCGCGCTCGCGCACACGCATGCGCACTGTGTCCCTGTCGTCGGGCGCTGACTCATAGTCGACGTTCGCTCGCTAACGATCCGGTCCCTCGGTCTGCGAGTGTTTTGCCCCTCGCGCGACTGTGGTCGTGGGCGCCATGAATTGCGAGAACTTCGCGGCGGGCGAGCGGTTGGTGTCCCCGGCCTACGTGCGGCAGGGCTGTGAGGCCCGCCGCTCCCACGAGCACCTCATACGGCTCCTGCTGGAGAAGGTACCAGGTGCCCGCCCCGCCCCCTCGGGCCGGCGGCCCCTCAGGGAAGCCGCGCCCAGAGCCCGGGGGGCCGAGCGCCCCGAGCCTGGGCGCCCGTGCCGGGGCTTCTCGGGCCTGGGGGTCTGGGCGGGGCGTAGAGAGGTCTGGGTTGTGTGCCTCTGGGCGAGGGGAGTGAGGTTGGTACGGGCTGTATGTAGAGGGCGAAGTCCACCCCTTCTCCTAGAGCCGCCCGCGGAGTGGCGCCCAGGCCTGACGTCAGTCAACAAACATTTATTGGGCCTCTGCTGCATTCGGACGCTGTGCTGAGCAAGTGCCTCCCTCCTCCTCCCAGGGGCGAAGGTTGAGAACATGCCCAGGGAGCCTTGATAACGGTGGGAAGGCGGTCCGGCGTGCCTTCCGCTCCATTTGTGTGGCCGTGGGCGTGTCACTTCTCCCCTCTTGAGCCTCAGTTCCACATTGGTTAAATGCGGTGTGAAACTTGCACCGAAAGGCAGCATCCCTCAGTGGTTGGGCCTTGGATGGGCCTTGGACTCTGGCCTATCTGGGTTCCAGTGTGATTAAAGGCTAGTCCCTTTACTTCTCAATATCCCCAGGCAGTTAAGACTGTGATTTACAGAGGAGCTGTTGATCTGCCTAGGTGGAAGTAGAGTACACACCTAAGGAAAATTTTTTTAAAAAGTCAGTTAACGTTATGTGCCAGGCTCTGGAGATGCAAAACCAGGGGGAGGGAAGAAGGGTGGGTTCTTGCTCTCAAGGAGCTTACAGTCTGAACATTGCACAGGAGGAAGCTGAAAAGGGAGGAGGGTAGGGTCAGGTACTTGGTGCAGAGCATGATGGAGAAATCCAAAGGAGTGCTGCTAGTAGGAAATAAAGAGGTTGACTGGCCTGAGTGCCCTCCTTAGATGGAGGCTTTGGGAGGAGCCTACTCTGCCTGCCAGTTCTGATAAGATGTGAGTACCAAGGCAGATGCGATCTTGTAGGATGGTGAAGTTCCAGGTGGCCTGATGGAGTGCTGCTGGTGGGAAATGAAGACATGGCTTACCTGGGGTTCTTAACATGTTTTGTTGTCGTGGACCCATTTGGCAGTGGTCTGGTAAAGCCTGTGGACCCGTTTTCAGAATAATTTTTATAAATTATAATGAAGGACATAATAAATTTCAGAGATCAGTGGAAATAAAATGGACCCCTTCTTAGAATAATTTTTTAGAAATCATTATTGAAGTTAGTGTAAATAAAGGTTTTTTCCATTCAAGTTCATGGACCCCCTGAAATCTAACCCCAGCAAACCCTCTGGAGGGCAGTGAACCTAGGTTAAGAATACTTGTTCTTTCTATCTCACAAGACTGTTGAATTCTATTCAGCATACATTTTTAACTTTGCCCTGTAAAATGCCCTAGGTTAGGTTTTTTTCTGGACAAATGCTTCTGTGGAAAGCACTTAAGGGAAGGTGAAGTTGTACATAAATGTAACTATTAATACCTTGATTTTAGCATTTTCTCTTAAGGATATTTGATTTTCTAATTTTTCAAGTTACCAGACCATTTAAAAGTTAGTGGAAGTGAATTGGAGTAGTCCCAGTTGTTACTTAGCATCATTTCTCTTTCTTTGCCCATGTACATTCTCCATAGTATTGATAGTATAGTAAGAGTAAGAATTAAATTGTAAATTAAAAATAATATCTGATAGCCAAATGACTTGGTGGTCCAGTGGATGGAGCACTGGGCCTAGGGTCAGGAAAACCTGAATTCACATCCAGCCTTAGACACTTACTGTGTGTCCGTGGGCAAGTCACTTAACCTCTGTTTGCCTTAATACACTGGAGAAGAAAATGGCAAACCACTCCAGTATATTTTTCAAGAAAACCCCATGGATGGTATTGGTGTGCTATGGTCCATGGGGTCAGGAAGAGTTGGATACAACTGAGCAACAGTAGCTAACTATATACATTATCTAATCTGAGCCTTAATATCCCTATACTAATAGGGATGGTAGAGGTATTTTTCAGATAAGGAAACTAAGGCTTAAAGAAGTTGTTACCCAGAAGCAAATGCCAGTGATCACAGCTACTAAGTATTAGCTGTGGAATTGGATGGGCAGCTAGGTGGCTCAGTGGATAGAGTGCTGGTCCTGGAGTCAGGAAGAATAATTTCCTGAGTTCAGATTTGGCCTCAGATACATACAAGCCGTGTGACCTTGGGCAAATCACTCACCCTGTTGCCTCAGTTTCCTCTGTAAAATGAACTGGAGAAGAAAATGATGAACCACTCTAGTATCTTTGCCAAGAGAACCCCAAGTAGGGTCACGAAGAATTGGATATGACTGAAAATAATTGAACAACAAAAATGTGGAATTGGAACCTTTGTCTTCTTAATTCCAAGTCTGGCACTTGATCCACTAAATGGAACATAAAAATACCAGTAAAACTCTTATAAAGAAGCACAATAGTATGAAATAGTTACTGAAGACTGATTTCATTAATTATATCTTTCAAAACATATTTTCCTCTCCCAAAGGGCAAATGTCCAGAAGATGGTTGGGATGAAAGTACCATTGAGCTGTTTCTCCATGAACTTGCCATTATGGATAGTAACAATTTCCTGGGAAACTGTGGTGTGGGAGAAAGGGAAGGTAGAGTAGCATCTGGGTTAGTTGCCCGTCGACATTACAGGTAATTTTTAAAAGTAGTGTATGTTTTCTATTATGTCCTGTAAGAATGCTTAATTTTTTAATGTCTTTGTAAAATGTTTAAAATGTTGTAAAGATCAGATTATATGTTTGTCTATATTTTCTAATTTAAAAGTTCTTTGAAAAAGACTTAGAAATAAACATCTGAAAATTGTTCTCATTCAGCTGCATCTTATTTTCTGCAATACATGTGGAAAATTCTAAATTTCATTGTAATAAATTCAACTCTTTTTTTTTACTGACTCACCTTATAATTTTAGAGGTTTTCCCCATTATTTACCACCTATTTGTTGCTTACTACATGTTAGGTATAACAGTAAGAATTCATGGACCATTTAAATCATTTGGTTTTAATATGATCTTATTGAAGTGAAAACGATATTGTTTTAATTTTCATTCATTTTAAAGTTTTGTTTTTTCTTAATATTTCTAAAATTTTATCATTTATTTGTTTTCAACATTCTTGTTAAATTTTTGAGTTCCACATTGTCTTCCTTCCTCCCATCCCTCTTCACCAAGAAGGCAAGCAGTGTGTCAGTTAGACATATGAAATCATGTAAAACATTTCCATATTAGCTATATTTCCAAAAAAAGCAAGAAAAATAAAGTGAGAAAATTATACTTCAGTTTGCACTCAGGTTCATCAGTTGTCTCTGTAAGTGTAGCATTTTTTCATCATGAGTCCTTTAGAATTTTCTTGGATTATTGTATTGCTCAGAGTAGCCAAGTCTTTCACAGTTGATTATCATTAATTACAGCATTGCTGTTACTATGCATGATGATCTCCAAGTTCTTCTCATGTCACTTTGCATCAGTTCATATAAGTCTTGCCACGTTTTTCTGAAACCTGCCCCTCATCATTTCTCACAGCACAATAGTACTCCATCACAATCATTTGCCTCAACTTGTTCAGCTATTCCCCAATTGATGAGCATCCCCTAGATTTCTGATTCTTTGCTACCTCAAAAAGAGTTGCTTATTATAAATATTTTTGTACATTTAGGTCCTTTTTATTTGATCTCTTTGAGATACAGACCTAGTAGTAGTATCACTGAATCAAAGGGCATGCACAGTTTTTTAATGCTTTGGGCCTAAAAACCATATGTTTTTAAATATCTCTTTGAAAGGAAAAAAAATAGATATGCATTAAACATCTATAATAGTGACATTTTATATAAACCAAATTTGGCAGTAAATGTAAGTGACATTTTAATATAGTGTATTAAAAATTTTATAATAAGCAGAACTCACAGTAACGAACATATACTCGGGCTAATAGCAACATTGAATTTAATAATATATATGAAAATGCTTTGAAAATAGTTTAGCACTATAAAAATGTAATTGTTGAAGCATTGAATTTTAGAGTTCATCTTAATGATCCCATTTTTACAAACTGAATGTTGTCTGTCAGCTAGCATTTATCAAGTGCCTGCTAAGTGTCAGGCATTGTGCTAAATTCTGGGCATGCAAAAAATGGCAAAAGACAGTCCCTGCTCTCAGAGAGCTCAGAGTTTAATGGATTATTATTATTAATTGACTATTATTGTTCTTATTATAACGAAGCTTAGTACTGATATGCTCTGCTTCATCACAGCCTGCTATAAAAAAAACTTCTGACCAGCCAATTAGGAAGTGATTACTCAAATTACAGAGAGTTTTTTTTTTTAAAAAATAATTTGGTGGTTATTTTTAATTGTTAGAACCTTTATATCATTTATAATATAGTTTAATTCAGGAACAACTTTTCAAGGAGCACATTTTTTGTGTATTGTCAGGTATACCACTATGGCAATTCAAGAAACATTTATTAAGTGTTTGCTGTAAATAAGGCACTGCTTGGGGCTAGAGGTCTAAAGAGATGAAGAATGAGACAGACTATGCACTTAAAGAACATACAGTCTAATGGAGTCAGATTATGATAAATGCAAAAGACAAGTGTGAAATTTGCAGATAGAGAGATTACTTGAAGGTGGGAGAATCAAGAAGGAAGTGGCACCTGAAAATCAAAGGGAGTACGTTCTAGGTATGAGGGTGGGCCTGCATGAATGCTTAGAGGTGGAAGAAAACAACAGTATTGGGGTACCATGATAGTAGTCCATTTTGACTAGTATGAGGAGTTGATGAATATCAGAAATGAGAAATAGGGCTGGACTTTATTTGGACAGCTGTGATTTCTACTCCCTCCTTTTTTTTTTTTAGTTTGATTTTGTTCAGTGAATAAAAATCCATTTTTTTCTCCCTCTCATTTTCCTGCTTTGGGGAAAAAAGGAAGAAAAACAAAATTCTTACAATATACATAGTCAAATAAAGCAAATTCCCACATTGGCTTTATCCAAAAACTTTTGTGCTTCAGTCTTCACTTTGAATCTATCACCTCTCTTCTCTTTAGGTGGAGAGCATGCTTCATCATCAGTCTTCTAGTGTCATGGTTGCTCAATGTGTTGATCAGAGCTCTTAAGTCTTTCAAACTTGTTTCAAAGTTGTCACAATGTTGTTATATACATTGTTCTTCTGGTTCTGTTTACTTCTTGTTGATCAGTTCTTATAAGTCTCCCTGGTTTTCTCTAAAATTATTTTGCCATATCAGCTAAGTGAGTTTTTCTGTAAGGTCAGTGGTCCAAGTAAATCCTACCACATAGAGCTTAAACAAGGCACTCTAGGAAGGTGTGAAAATTGCACCCCTATGTTTGTACTACTCACTTGAACTTTGAGCCTGTTGTAACACATGTAACTTGATGTAACACAACATGGAGCTCAGCATTTTCTGATATTAAATAATATGCCTTTAAAAAAGTAATATCTTAAAAGTGTCCTTCGTTTTGTCCTCACTTCATTTTTTATGTCTTAGACTATTGCCTTCTTTTTCTACCCTAATCCTGGTTCTGTTTGTAAGCTCCAGCAGCAAGGTAGCATAGTTTTCTTTTATCTGGGGAGAATATTGCGCCATTAAAAAAAAAAAAATACAGTGAAACAAATGTCACTCACTCCTCTTTAGTACCCAGAGTGTTGATGAAATTTTAGCTTACTATCCTGATTAAAGGAAGGAGGAATTAAAAGGGAAAATTTATTTTTCATGGATGATAAATTGGTCATTTAATTATTATAGCTTCCATATTATAAATATACTTGTTGAGAATATAGTAGAGGAGATTCTTATATCTGGTAAAAATCTTAACTGGATGTTCTCTTGATCCCTTTTAATCCTCAGATTCTACCCATAAAAGCTAGCTATTGCTTCTGATTTTCTAGGCTATCTTGTTTGCATACATGTACATGAATTATTTTGCATAAGACTTTTTTTCCCATTCATTGACCCTTCTTTTGTTTAGGTTCATTCATGGAATTGGAAGATCAGGTGATATTGCTGCTGTGCAACCCAAAGCTGCAGGTTCTAGCCTTTTGAACAAAATAGCCAATTTATTAGTTCTGGACATCCTAAGACTGGCTGGTGTGTATTATATTAATTGTGCTACTTTTTGCTGACCTGCTACAAATGAGGGAGTTGGGCTAGATGGCCTCTGAGTTCTCTCCAGCACTGAATTTGTTATTCTATGAAATGCTTTTAATTGACTTAATTTCTAATTGCTTCTTTATTTACAGGTGTTCGTTCAGTGGTTGACTGCTTTGTTGTTCCAGTGGCGACTGGTATGAGTCTAACCCTGTGTTTCTTGACACTACGACACAAGAGACCAAAGGCAAAATATATTATTTGGCCACGGATAGATCAAAAATCCTGCTTTAAATCCATGATCACTGCAGGTAATGGAATGCATTATGAATTATTAATGTTGCATTAATATTATAACATTGAGAGACAATATGGCTCAGTAGATAGAGTGTTGGACTTGGAGTCAGGAAAAAATGGGTTCAAATCTTGACTCCAACACTAGCCATATGACCATGGGTAAGTCACTTAACCTATCTGAGCCTGAGGCTCTAAAAATTATTTACTGTGTTATCTCCAAAATTTGCATTTCTAGAAGGATTTCCTGCACTGATAAATATCACAGATCATTGATGTAGTGAATTTGATATTATATAGGCTTTTAGACTTGTTTAGAGTCATAGATGAAAAACTAAAAATTTATTGAACAGAATACACTAAAAAGTTACTACAAGTAACTTGTGTGTACACAAACACACGCACCAAATAAAAAAAAAACATTACCATGAATTAAATAGATACCTGACTGGATCCAATATGAATAATAATTGAAAAATTATAGAATAATAATAATAATAATAATGGCTAGCATTTCTAACTTTAGGTTTTAAAAGTACTTTACATATATTATCTCATTTGAACCTTACAACAGCTTTGTGAAGTAGGTTCTATCATTATCTCCATTTTACAAATAAGGAAATTGAGGAAGAGAAGGGTTAAATAACTTGTCCAGAGTCTCATAGTATATTTGATAGGATTTGAACCCAGATTTTCCTGCTCTTAAGTCCAACTTTTTTCTATGCCACACTGTTTTGAAGAGAAATAAAGACAAATGACTGGGTCGTGATATTCAAGGAGATTAAGAAGTAGACAGTTTAAGGTTGTGTAATGAGGTGAAATCACGTCTGTAATTTTTGAGAAGGATAAAAGATCAAAACAGAGCAAATAGTGATAAAAATTTAGATTGGGATTTCTGTGTTTCCTTAAATAAGGCCTAGATCATAAATTAGAAAACTGAGCATATTTTTTGTATAGTCTAAAATTAATTGAACTACTGTATTTATACTATCTGTAATTGAACTACTTATCAATCTATGAAGGTATTCCACTTCCATCAGAGTTGATTCATATTAGTGGAGTAATGTGAAGAACTCCCACAGTCTTGAAAGTATCTATATATTTCAAGGTCAGAAACCAAAGACTGATTCTATAGGAAAAGTTTTCATTAATAATTCAGAATAACTTCTTGTGGCATTGTATTTGCAGGAGAATGAGCCCCAAGGTTCTGTAAGAAGTGATTTATAGCTACTGTTCTTACTATGTAATTTTAGTAAATGTCATTTCTTTGAAAGAAGTCAAGATAGACTTACTTTTTTGTAGATAGTAATGTGGAGAGGGGTCTGTGGTCTAAAGTTCATTCTTATTGTTGTATTCCAAGGGTATTGAAGGATGTAAAACTAAGTGCAGAGTTTCTCTTTTACAGTTTTGGTAATTCTACATCATGTTAGACTTTCACACTTCTTATGAGCAAAAGGTAGAGTTGAGAAAAAAGATGCATGCAGATGCACAGGGAAATTATCAACCAACACAGATTTTAAAGACAGATACAGAAGATGGAAGCAAAGGTCAGTAGTGGAAAATGAATACATAAGTGTAGCTTGTTCTTGTAAGAATAGTACCAGAAGAACCAATGCTCAGAATGAGCTGATGCTGGCAATTAAAGACATGGATAGCAAAAAAGATTTTGTTAGCTGTATTGGAGGGAAAAGGAAAATTGGAGAAGAGAGAGACCTGCTACTTGGAGTGTATGGGATGATGATAACTGAATGATAGAGAAAAGACAGAGCTTCTCAACTCTTATTTGTTTTTCTCTGCTGAAGAGAATAATCTTTGAACTGGAAAGAACAGAACAAAATAACTAATAGGGAGCTGATACCTATGCTAAGTCAGGAGATGGAAAGTACTTTAGCCACCCTTGGTGAGTTCAGTTTACTAGTCTCAGATGAACTGCATCCTAGGATACCAAAGAACATATATGTAGGAATGACTGCTGAGTCATTGGAGTGATCTTTGAAAGATTATGGAATCCTGGAGAGGTGCCACAGAACTAGAGAAGTTGCAAATGTCATGATTTTCAGAAAAAGGGAGAAGAGTGGCATCTGAAAACTATAGGCCATCTAAGTGTGACTTAGATTCCTCTCAAAATTCTAGCATGTATTGTTAGAGATGTTAATGAGTATCCAGAAAAGTAAGTGGCTATCATGAGAGTGAAGGATTCATCAAAAACAAGGCATGACAAACTAACCTCACTTCTTTTTTTTTTTTAATAAGATTACTAGACTTGTAGATCATGGGATTGTAGCAAAACAGTTGACGAAGTCTCCCATGCTATTATTATTAGAAGAGCTTAGAGAAATAACAGTGTGGTTAGGTGGATTTGAAGCTACTTAAAAGCCTGGATTGAAAAATTAATCACTAATCAGCTAGGTGGCGCAGTGGATAGAGCACCAGCCCTGGAGTCAAGGAGGACCTGAGTTCAAATCCTGCCTCAGACACATAACACTCACTAGCTTGTGTGACTCTGGGCAAGTCACTTAACCCCAATTGCCCTCATCAAAAAATAAAAAAAGAGTAATCATTAATGGTTCATTGTCACCTTTGAAGGAAGCTTTTAGTGTAGTAGGCCCCAAAGATTTGTGCTTTACCTGGTACTGTTGATGTTTAACATTTTTTTTATCAGCAACTTGGGTAAGGGGATAGATGGCATGTTTGTCAGATTTTCAAACCGGGGATAGATATCTTAACACACTGCATGACAGAGTTTGGCCACAGTTCTTGACAGGCTTGAACATCGAATCTAGTAGGATGAAATTTAGTAAATGTAAAGTCTTATACTTGTTTCAAAAGATCAATTTCACAGCTACAAGATGTGGCTCTTATGACTACACAACAGTCTGCAAAAGATTTGAGAGTACGTAGTGGATTGTAAGCTCAATATGGCAGTAAGAAAAGTGTCAGGACTAGGGAAGTGATAGACCTGTTGTACTTGGTCAGACCACATCTGGGGGATTGTGTTCACTTTTGGGTACCTCGTTTAAGGAAAGATGTTGATAAGCTGAAGACCATTTAGAGGAGGGCAGCCAAGATGCTGGAGATCTCAAGATATTGCTGCATGTAGATCAATTAAAGGAAGTGGGGATATTTATCTTGGAGAAGAGAAGATCTAAGGGAGAACATCATAGGTGTCTTCAAGTATTTGAAAGGCTGTCATGTGGAGGAGGGGGGCCATGTCCATTTGTCCTGATCTGTATATTGCCACTGAGGAGAAAGTGAGGCTGGTGACTTTGCACAGCCCTACCTTACTTAAATCCAGTTCACTTGCAAGTCATGGCATCACCTTCCAGATGTCATGGTCCTCTTTGAGAAAGAAGGACAAAAACAACATGGGGAGGAAGGATTAGATTATTTTCTGCTTGGTCCCAGAGTTCATAACTAGACGCAACAGAAGATATTTGCAAAGAGACAAATTTAGCCTTGAAAAACTAATAATTAGAATTATGCAAAAGTGGAATGAATGGATTATCTTGGAAGTGGTGAGTTCCCCATCACTGGAGAGCTTTAATAAAAGGCTAGTTGACCAGTTGTGGGGTATGTTGTAGAGAAACGTCTTTTATATATAGGTTTGACTAGTTGGATTCTGAGGTCCAACTCTGAGAATCTGTGTGAATAGTTACACTTTATATTGTATGAGGGGTGAGAGGCTTTTTGTTATTTGAGGACCAGTGTAATTGAATTTGGGGAAATCCATTACCAGAACATTGGTCAGCCAGGTGATAGATATTTTTAGTCTTAGCAACCCAAGAAGATCAACTTCTAAGGTGTTTAAGAAGTTTCAGTCCCTATATAATGGATCACTAAAGCATATTGTAATTTATGCTTAAGACTAAGTGTTTAGTGACAAATTTGCTAGGAATCATTCTTTCCTCTCATCACCAAACCTCTATTATTATCTTCCCTTTCTTTTCCTTCCTCCTTTTCTTTTTTTTAAGTTATTATTTTTTTTTAAAGTATTTTTATTTTATTTTATTTTATTTTTAGGCAGTTGGGGTTAAGTGACTTGCCCAGGATCACACAGCTAGTAAGTGTCAAGTGTTTAGTCTGAGGCCAGATTTGAACTTAGGTCCTCCTGAATCCACTGCTTTAACCACTGCACCACCTAGCTGCCACTTCCTCCTTTTTCTAAGACAGTGAGAGTTGGATCTGGGAATTTCTTTCCTTTAAGAAAAAAAAAAAAACTATGTAACTCCTGGAACTGAATTCCACTTACATTTATGAGACCAAAATCAGATTTTAGGCTCAATAGAACTCATTATTGATGCCTCTGATCTTCCCTTTCGAACTTCACAGTTTCTGTTGTGGGCACAACCAGCTTTCTCGTCTTCCAGTTTTTCAACCTCAGTGTCCATACTTGACTCCCCACTTTCCCTCCCTTACGGAATTTCAATCTCCACAATATCTCTTATGTCCCCTCCTCTTTACTCATAAAACCATCACCCTCATTCAAGCTTTAATCACCCCTTGCCTGACCTAGTGCAGTGCTCTTATAATTTTCCTCTTTACCTCAAATCCTTCTCTCCTCTAGTCTGTTTTTCACACTGCTGCCAAAGTGATATTCCTAATGCATGGGTTTTGAACATGCCACTCCTCTGCTCAGTAGACTCCCGGGCTCACTGTGAGCTCTGGGATCAAATATAGACTCATCTGTTTGGCTTTTAAAGCTTTTCACAACCTGGCCCCATCTTACCTTTTCAACTTTATTAAACATTATTTCCCTTCTTGCACTCTTTAGTAGAGCCATGCTGGCTTTCCTGGCTGTTCTCACATGTTGCTTTCTATCCCTGTCCTGCTGCATTTTGTAGTGGCTGTCCTCCATGCCTGGGATACATTCCCTTCTCATCTTCACCTTTTGGAATCCCTGGTTTCCTTTGAGACATAGTTCAAGTGCCACCCTTTACATAAGAATTTTCTTGATATCTTGCCAGCTGAAGTCTCAGCCAGAGTCCCTTATACCTGCTTTGTATTTGTTTTACATATG